GGAACAATGAGGTTTTGTGTGGACTACCATCGACTGAACACTGTGACAAAGGACGTCTATCTGCTCCCCCACATCGACGATACTCTAACCGTCTGGGGCACTTCCGATACTTTTCGCCGATGGACGCGAAGAGCGGCTTCTGACAGAACGAAATCGACGAACGGGACCGGGAAAATATTGTCTTCGTCACACCCGACGGACTGTACGAATTGAAAGTGATGCCCTTCGGACTATGCATGGCACCAGCGACTTACCAGCGTGTCCTGGACACCATGCTAACAGGCTTAAAATAACAGAGTGTCTCGTGTATCTCAGCGACGTTCTGGTGTTCGCCAGCAACTTCGACGAGCACTTACTGCGACTCCGTGCCGTACGTTAAGCCATCAAGGCCGATGGACTAAATATCACGCGGAAGAAACGTCGGCTCGATTATGGTGAACTCAAGTTCCTAGGTCAGGTCATGAGCACCGAGGGTGTTCGTCCTGACGCCGGGAATACGCGCGCCGTAGCCGCATTTTCCCCGCCGTCGAACAAAAAGGCCATAAGAGGATTTTCGGGCCTCTATGCCTCCAACAGGCGATTCGTATGAGATTTTGCGAAGCTTTCTGCGCCGCTGACATATTTTACAAGATACGCCGTAAAGTTTCGGTTCACAGAAGAGCATGAACGGTGTTTGACGAGCTTAAACGAAGATTTCAAACGCCTCCCGTCCTTGACCATTTTGACCTGCTATAACGGCACTGGCGTTGCACCTATCTAAAATACATTTAAAAAAGTAAGAGGGGGTTGGCGCAGTGCTGGTTCAAATACAGGATGAAACAGATTGGATAATCGCCTATGCATGCCGGACACCGTCCAAGGCGGAAAGTATTTACTCTACGATGAAGAAAGAAGTCCTCGCCGTCGCCTGGGCCATCACCAAGTTTGGCCAGTACTTGAACGGAAGCATGTTCCGAGTGGTTACGGACCACCACTCGGCTCTGTTGGCTTGCGAATCTGAACGACCTCTCAGGACGCCTCGCACGGTGGAGGCTATGACTGCAAGAGTCTGCTAATACCGTGGTGTACGATTCCGACCGGAAGCACAGTCACGCCGATTGTTTGTTGAGGGGCCTCCGTCGAGGCCGGTCGTGCCTGCACTAAAGGCGATGACGACGAGTGTTTTGTCTGCGCTTTACATGTCAACGACATGGCAGCACTCCAAGTATGTGGGTTTGAATTGCGACGACTCATGGACCACCTTGAAGGTGCTCTACAAGTCCTCCGCGTTTTCTTACGAACACTGTCGATCTTCTTTATCCGACAAGCTGTGCCGTACAAGGAGAGCTTCAGCGAAAACAACACGGCGTGGCTGTTGGTGATCCCCTCCAGTCTTCGAGAAATGATATCTCTTCTCGAAGCAGGACTCTTGCCAAGATACGTGAGAAGTACTACGGGCCCAAGCCCGCGAAGACAGTGTATCACTACACCCGATCTTGCCACGGGTGTCAACGAACGGAAGTCACCGACTAATTGCGCCACCATCTTATCTGCCCAATTTCAGCAAATCGTAATAGATTTACTTGGACCTTTCCCACAATCGACGCAAGGAAGCGGATGAATAATCGTCGCGACATTCTATCTCACACGGTAGGCCGAGGTGAAAGCCCTTCCATCAGGTACCGCTGTTGAAGTCACCAAGTTTTTCATGGAGTCCATCGTCCTCCGGCACGGCGCCCCCGAAGTCCTAATTACAGATCGTAAATCATCGCTCATGGCCCAGCTGACGCAAGAGATTCTTCGTCTCAGTAGCACCAGCCACCGTCAGACCACTCCGTACCATCCGTAGACAAATAGACTATCAGAATGGACGAACAAAACCGTCGCCGAGAGAATCTCCAAGTATGTCGACGTACAGCACAAGACGTGGGACGAGCTATTACCCAACTTCGCATTTGCCTACAAAACGGTGGTGCAAGAGGCCACAGGAGTCACACCATTCCAGCTGCTCAATGGCCGCAAAGTAACTACGATGCTGGATGCAATGCTGCCCCACGAACCTGATGACAACGACAGCGGCGACTCCCAGATCGTCATTCAACGGGCCGAGGAAGTCCGACAGCTCGCCAGACTCCGGTAGAAAGGCAAGCAACGCGTCGACGCTCGCCGGTAAAACCTTCGTCGTCGGGACGTTCACTTACAACCCGGAGACAGGGTGTGAGTGTGGACAGGCATTCGTCCCCGGTGCTTAAGCGGGAATATCCTGAAACGGTACTTCGGACCTTACAAGGTAGTTCGTCCACTGGGAGATCTGAACTACGGGGTAATGCCAGTCCGAGGTACATTATCACGCCACAACCACGACCTGAAGTCGTCCACGTCGTGCGGCGCAAGCCGTACGCTCGAAAAATCTGTAAGCTGTTACCCGTGCAACGCTCAATAGAACTAGGATTTACCAGCCTGCGTATTTTCCCATTCTTTTGTTTGTTTTGCTCTGCATTGCTTCCGTGCACGTCGTGATGTCACGAGCTTCTCCGGCCAAGCGCGCCCGTGGCCGTATAGCTATCTTGCATGACATGGGCCAAAGTTCGATGCCTGAGAGCGGATTCAGCTTTTTATTTCTGTAATATGTCGCGTTGTGGTAAATTCGTTAACCCTGTTGCATGTTCGAGGACCCAATGCTCTATGAATTGAACCTTCTACGAAAATGGTTCAACTAGCCCACAATTCTACATAAGCGGCTCCGCGTGGCTAGCTGGAGTTTGGTTCGCCCCAGCGTTCGATCTCCTTCAATCATTCGTCGCCTCATCAATTGTCATTCGTAAAAATACACCCTCAACCTGTACTGCTAGTGTGGGGTGTGAATCTGAAATTAACAGCTATATTGTTTTGAAGTATGGCCGCCCGCAACTCTATCCTGCGAGGAGCATCCAGTAGTAATATACGGTGCATCTTTGTTAACTCGTTCGCACTTAAGATTTTTTTCGGGTTTTGTACTCACTTTTGTTTCTCTTTGTAAGGGCGTTGTTTTTTTTGTTTTTTTTTGTATGTACGACGTGCTTTTTTCTCAGCGACGTTATGTTTTTGTCCGTTTAGTTTCATGCACATGAGCATGGTCGGCGTCTCTTGTTTTTATGCCACTGCCTTCGCTGACGATATGTGTACCACTGATAGGGTCTGCTGACTCTTTGTTGGCACCATATGATTATCAACTCAAACATCAGGTTTTCCGAGCAGTTCTCCTCAAAGTTTCTTTCATAGCACACTTAACCTGCTTTCAAACAAGGACGACACCAAGCTGCGAAAGCCTGAACTGCGATTCCCGTCCGGACCTGGAGTTGCGCTTCCTCTTCTGCTCCTCCACGACTTCTCTGAGTCGCTGACAAGATTGGTGAGGAAGCGCAACTGCCCTTTCGGAATCGGGACCAACCCGTAGTTCGAACTTTTGACGCTTCGTGAGAAGCACCTTTACAACCGCTCTTCTGAAAAAATTTGGCAGCGACCTTTATCTTCAAATTCCTATAATGCATGAAATGCAGTGTTTATGGTGCGAGCGTTAAAATAATTTAGCAGCCACTAAACTTCGGGGAGTGAAGAGCCTTTATATTTATCAATTTTCCCGCTACACAGAGATGAAAATTGGTACATGGGTCAAGTGGCGGCAATTTCCGCGCTCAATTTAGTGGGAAACTAAATTGAGGTGTATGTCACGTCCCTTTAATTTTCCTGCTATATATAGAGGGAAATTTGAATAAACGCATTGGCCACGGTTCGTCAGGTAATGTGTCGTCAATATTACCCTAAATTTCGTGGGGAAACGGAAGGTGTTTAGATCACGTGACATGAGTGTTTGCGCCAAATTAAGCGGGGAAGGTTATTTGGGGTATAGGCCACGCGACCCCAGCGGCGCAGCGCTCACCAATCATACCGGGCGGCGATCTCCCGGGCACCCAGCCCCGGTTAGTCCCACCGTGTAGATTAGACTCTCAGGTCACGTGACGCCATTTTTTTCGCTGAATGTAGTGGCAATACATATTTGGGGTATAGGTCTCTTGACGTCAGGTCACGTGCGATTAAGTTTCCCTCTAAACTTGGCAGGGAAACAGAATTGGTGTATATGTCATGTGACGTCAGGGTACGTGAAGTAAATTTTCTCGCAAAAATCAGAGGGATAACTGATCTGGTGTATAGGTCACTTGACGCCAGAGGTCGGTGACAGGAGGTTTCCGCCGATATTCACGGGAAAACTTAATTGGTGTACATATCGCGTGACATCAGCTCACTGGACATCAATAGACATCACGTGACCTAAACTCCGATTCAGTTTCGCACTATCAATTTATCGATGAAATTGACGTCACGTGATCTGAAATTCCATGACCTAAATGCCATTTTATTTTCTCTTTTAAATTTAGCGGGAAACATAATGACACATGAATTACACAGCAGTTCAGTTTCCCCGCTAAATTTAGCAGGGATATTGACATGACGTGTCCTGATGTAATGTGACCTCTACACCAATTCTGCTTCTCCGCCAAGTTTAGCGAAACATATAACTTACGTGACAGCGATTACATACCTCTGTCACATAGACGAATTCGGATTGCAAATTCTGTCACGCAGCACGCTCGCTCGCCCCGAAGCAGAAACGGCGAGCCCGTCTAGGAAGAGCTATCAAATGTACGCATGCCATGCGTTAAATTATGAGATGCAGGGGTTGTAAACACTGGCGTCTGAAAACTCAGAGTATCGCTAAACGTACGAGATGGAAGAACGTCTTGTTTTTGTCTTGACTTTTTTACATCACGGTGTAACATCGTCTAAAGAAATTTAAGCGGTGCCACATTAAGCACTGCATTCCATGCACTGTAAGGCCTCCAAGGTAAAGCTGTCTGATAGTTTGAAATGCTGCACACCTTACAATATTTATAAACCGAGGGGGAACCTGAAGACAAATTGCTTTGCACGTAGGTTTGTAATATCAAAATTGGAGAATAATGTAATCGTATGCAGTGACTCACATACTTTCTCCTTCCAGAATTTTCTCAATATCTTTAACATAATCAGGCTCCAATACAATCACACGTTCGCTCTCATTGAGTGTCACATTGGCCAGTGCAAACTCGTGATTTAATAGTTTCAGCCATTCAATCTGTAATGTCACAAGGGAAAATATTACAGCAACATACAGTGAGGATTCCATTTCTGCAGAGTAATATCTAGATGTCCACAAGGATCGAAATTATATCACAATATATATATATATATATATAAATAAAAATTATAACAGTTCGCAGCTTATGCTAGTCTGTGTCCTTTTCATTTAATGTCATGTTAGTACCATTAAAGGGGCGATGCAACAATTTTTGTACTTTGCGCAAATACCGCTTAGAACGGATCCCTGACGTTAATTACCTATGAAACAAGCGTTCGTTTTTAACCCCGCGCATTAGAAGTCCCAGAAAAAAATTAAAGAAAAACGAGCAGCGTTCACCCCCTCAACTCGCAGCCAGAACAAGCGGCCACGCAATCTGGAGCCGATAATATGCCGCCAGTGTTGATTATAGCCACGTGCTGGGGTTGGCAAAGCACAGGACACGCGCTGAGTTCCAGACATGGTTATGGCTCGGCTATTGTCGTCGTTGCAGCGATTGGACACGGGCCACTACCCGAATGCTTCTTGAACTATAGTAATTATCACGAGCCCAAATCGAGTGCCCACGCAATGCTCGGGTCCAACCTATGAACCGCATTCAAATATCGTCATATGGGTGTACTGCGGTCCCCACTTTACGTCATCAGATTTTGCAAAGGAGAGATTGATTGAAAATGAGCGCTTTTGTCCTTGAAATTACACCGCAACAAAGGAGTTTCTTGGCCAGTGGCGTTGCGTGTGAGTATCCCTGAGTCCGACGAGTGCCAGTAAGCTCGTGTAAAGTGAAAAACATTATTATTGAAGATCGTTGCACCGCTCCTTTAATGACTCCCGAAGAGGTTTACATAAGGAGTGGGTACATAAATGGAGTATACATGGATGACAAACAATTTTAAAGCCAGACATGTCCTGTTACATTTTTCATGAATGTGGATGGGCATCCATTGCAACAGCGTAAGAAATGCAGTTCCAGCTCAGAGCTGCTCGGGAGAAAAATGAAGCACGAAATGCGACAGAGTGGGTGCATGGGCGGGAATTTGGTGTGAATGACCGGTGCGCTGCGATATGCGTGCGGGAGGGAGGTGTGTAAAGGATAAGGCGGTTCACAAAGCGAAGAATGAACAAACGCGTATTAAGGAGACACTGGTGATACGGTGACGACTGGAAATAGGCGGGAGCCGTGATTCAGCTGATATGCTGATATTAAATGAACATAAAAAATGAATGAACCGAGAAACGCGATTGTGGGCAGTTTCGAGTGGGTTGATTAGATATATTTCGTGTGGGCTCGAGGTTGCAGACGCATTTACTACCTTTGATCAAAAAAGCTTTTTTTGGGCAAATCACTCATCCCATTACTTTCAAATCATGGCAACTTTCAAAAGCTTTGCAAGTTTTCCGAAGTTCCTATGAGACCAAATATTTTGTTAGCTGAAATGCTTCAATATAAACCCGTGCCATCTTTCAGGATGGTTTGAAGGACATTTCCGTTTGAAGTTTTGCTGAAATCGACACATAGATCGTCTTATTTAGAATACTGGAACTATTTGAAACTATATTTTTAATGCCATATAAGAGAGAAAGGATGTCACCATAAGTAATATTTTTAATGCATCCACGCAATTTAGTATGCTTAAGTTTGGCAAGATAGGAAATTGATTTCTAATTTTTTTCCAACGGTTTTATTATCATTTAAAGACTCTTGAAATATATAAGTACTTCCACTCCACTGGAAGTGACTTCTGAGCTTCATCTGGTGTGTGACTCAGGTAGCACAAGAGGTGGGGCCCACATGGGCAATGAACGCTCGGGCAGGTCGTACGAAACCCACGCTGGTCCCACGTGGCCGCAGAGTGGGCATACCCAATATGGGGTGCCCGTGCGATACGCTGGTGATCTCCGCTACGCGAGGGCACGCCCAGCGCCGTCGTTCCCACTTCATGTATGCGGGGGCAGAGTTAGCGCAAATATGTGCTTCAGGGGGCCAAAATATGGGCATGCCCAACTTTGGATGCAAGTGCAATACACCTCGCCAATGCGGAGGCAGAGTTAGCAAAGGTACGGGCAAAACGTGCGCACGAGGGAGTTGGGCTACACATGTAAAAACCCCGTTGGTCCCACATCGGCCGTGCGGGAGCCAAGCTGCGGTGATTAGAGCCCTCGACGGCGAAGCGTCGGCATGCCTGACTTGGGTTGCCCACGTATAACCCGCGTGGGACCCACCTCGGCTTAGGGGGGGGCCGAATGCGATGATGTAGGCTCCACGCCGGCAAAGTTTGGGCGTGCCCAACTTGGGCTGCCCATGTAAAACCCCTTATGGGTTTCATGTCGGTTCTGGTGGACGAAGTTTGCGAAAAAAGGGGGTTCCACGGCAGCAAAGCGCGGGCATGCCCAACTTGGGTTGACCATGTAAGACCCTCCTGGCTACCACCTTGGCCATGCCGGAACCAAGTTGCGATGATGTGGGCTCAACAGCAGTGAAGTGCTGGCATGCCCGACTTGGGTTGCCCATGTAAAACCTCCAGTGGACCCACCTCACCTCTACCGGGGCCAAATGCGATATGAAGTTTTCACTTCGGCGAAGCGTGGACATGCCCGAGTTGAGCTACCAATGTAGAACCCCCGTGCGTCCCCCCTCGGCTCTGCAGAAACCAATTTTAGGAAGATGAGGGCACCAAGGGGAAAAAGCGTGAGCATGCCCAACTTGGACTAAATGTGCAACTATAACACTGGCACTTTCCGATGATATTAAGAATATGTACTACACGTTCTGGAAATTCAGCATTAGGTATCAGTTTAATATAATATTAAATAATCCAGGACTCCAAATAGAAGCATGAGACGAAAATTGTTAGGCTTGCAAAATATTACTAACTTACTACACATCGTGTAAGTTGAGGTTGTATTACATGGAGCGTAACGTTTTACAGAGAGCACTTAATTTGAAGGTGAATTCCAAACACGCTCGGCCGAGTGTCATGTGTCTCTAGATGGCTCTATCTTGCTATGCATTTTTCTGCCTGTTAAACAGGATTTTATGAAGAAGCGTGCAGAGGTTTTGATCCATTTCGTAAAATTAAAATGCCCAATTTGTATGGTCTTGCTCAAATCGTTTTATTGATCTATCAAAATCATATTACTTTCAATATGGCAATGAAAAACGTAAGGAATGTTGAATTTGAGATGCACTGCAATACCCCACATCATAGGAAATGAGGAAATTAGCCGGTCAAAATTAGGTTTCCGGGCGGTACCACATGTTGGGCTGCCAACGTAGGCCCAGTGTGAACCCCACAAAGGGGGAGGGGGGAAATGTGGGCTCCCATCTACGTTCCCTTTGGCCCCGCGATGGGGGCCCTTGTGGGGTGCCCAAGTAAATCCAAGGAGGGCCCCACAAAGGAAGCGAATGTGAGCTACCCCATATAGGCCTCATGTGGGTCCTCCGAGGGAGCCCAAATGTGCTGCCCTAGTGGACGCCACTTGGGCTGGAGTTGCAAAACCGACGTGGGGCCCCGTCGGCACCCTTTCTGATTCCCACTTTGTGGTATTTTGGCAGCTTCACATTGCCAAGTTCCAGAACTTACCTTAGATAATACGTCGATTTTCTAATTTAGGCTATGGTGGCTGTCTAGAAAAAAGGCAACAGAGGACGACTTGTCGTGCTCTCGGCCTCCAATTATATTATCAGGCACGAAGCCTCTAAAAACGAAAACGATCACACAAAATATAATATTCACAAGGAAGTGCTGATAACCCCTGTTTGCGCCGTATAGCAACTACACAGATATGCTGCACAGAGCAGCTTATTATTTTGTACACGGCGATTATAGGGAGTTTTAGTAGATCGTTTTCAAAGGCACGTTAGCGCTGCCTGCGCGCGCTTCAGAGCATGCATCGAATCGGCAGCGCGAGCTCCCATTACAAATATTGTGGCACGGGAACACGATCTACTAAAGCTCTCTCATGTATATGTGCTACATTGTCGAAACTAGCGTCGTTTGTGCGATATTCCCTGTTAAGAAGGTTTACCTTAGTGTACGCAAATGTTTTACTTTTATTGAACAGTTCGCGAAATATAACACATAATATAGTAAACTAAATAAACAACACACAATATAGCAAACTAAGAACTGAGCAAATAACAAACTAGAAATGAATAATATATACTTGTATTTTGCTTATATGAACACCTTATTTGCCAGAAAGTGCCGATGTGTGCACCATATAAACTAAAATCCGAAGTAAAATAGAAGTATATTTGATGTATGCTTAGGTATACAAAGAATCTACTTGAGGCGAACTTTTTTTTTTATAAATACGCAGAGTTAATATATAGACGCTTTCAGCGCGCGCCAGATCGAGCCGCCATAGCCGACCTTCTCTTGTCTTACCGAGATGCCTAGCCACTGAAGCGGGCGTTGTCGAGCCTCCACAAAGGCCTTCGCTTGGGAGGAAGACGCAGTAGAATCTAAAATGGCAATAACCTGTCCTGCTGTGGCAATGATGAAGTGAAGCGAACGAAATAATCGTGAACAAAAACTGAAGGTCGGTTATGGCGGCGCCCATGCCCAGCTGCCTGAAAGAGTCTATACGTAATTTGTGTGCTTTTTTATCAAGAACTCCGACGTTGTCAAAGCACTTTCCGTGGATTTGTTTAGCGTCCTTTTTCTCAAAAAAAGCGCGCGCGAATGAGTCGCGAGAGGAAGCCTGCTCTCGAAATAGTACGGCGCTTCTGCACGGTAGAAGATATGCTGATTTTGACAGCGTAGAATGAATAAGTTTGCGCCAAGCTTAGGTAGTGACTTCCAACTGTGAGACGTCTGACTCTTTTTTTCTTTTTCAGTAGATCACATACCTAGCTCTATTTTTGAGGGAGAACTTAAAAACGTATATTCCACATTCGCTCTTAAAAGTGCATTGACAACTCCGATTTTTTTTTTTTTTTTTTGCCTCAAACTATTCGAGAAGGCGTCGCATAAAGATGTTGAACACAAAGG